TGTCACGACCCCAATCCCGGTCGTGATGGCGCCCAACACTAATGCTAGGCAAGCCCGACCAATTTAAATACTCTCAACCCAGATACGCAATCCGTTAACAAATAATACGATTAAAATAGCAAATATCAAGGTTCCAATCCGAAACTAAATAAAATAGTATGGAAAATAATAACGAATATCTCAACATTCCCCAATAGATCTGGAGTCACGAGTCTAGAGCCTCTAGATGTAACAGAGTAATATATCCATAGTAATAAAGAAGTCTAGGATATGGAAAGACAAATGAAATAAAGGGGAGGAGTCGGGTCCTGCGGACGTCAGGCAGCTACCTCAACAACTCCTGAAATAACTTCACGAAAAACAACAAACAACTCCACTAAGTCTCCGGAGCACCTGAATCTCCACACATGGTGCAGGGAGTAAAGTACTCAGTGAGTAATAAACATATATAATGGCTGAAAGTAAGAAATTCCGAAATATTACAATATAAAGCTATAATCAGCGATTCAGCACACAAAACGATAAAACAACCGCAAACAAAGACAATTAAGACCAACAGATATAAAATGCATGAATGCAATGCAATGCACATGACCGCTGCGGCGCTCAGCCCGATCCATTTGGGTACCCGGGCTCACTGTGGGGGTTCAGACTCCGGAGGGGCTCCTACAGCCCAAGCGCAATATCATCGTAACATTCGCTGCGGCGTGCAGCCCGATCCACACTCAGTCCAATTATATATATGCGTGCAAGCCACTCAGGCATAGTCAGATTATTCATTTTGGTCTCAATTATTAGGAATTATAGGGATAAGTGTTTAAACCTTTATTTATTTATTAAACATTTCGAGTCAGTGTCTAATTCAGGACTGATATCATGGAATATGCTAAACATCATGGAAGCAGTGATAAGGATCCCTGAAGGATGCAAATGATATGCACAAAGCCCCCAAACATATTCATAAAATCCAAGTAGGACGATTACCAAACAATTTCTAGTCAAGAACACAGTACGAACATCAATCGAAATGGACTAGGTCAAAATTCCCAGTCACAATCGACCCCGCACTCGTCATAGAGTACGTGTCTCGCCTCAATATAGCGTCACAATGTGATATACCGGGGTTTCAAACCCTCAGGTCATCATCTACATCTATTACTCACCTCAAGCCGGCCACAAGTCTAGCTCGCTATGCCTTTTCCTTTCGAATCAACCTCTTCGCACGCCGAATCTGATTAAAACCACAACGAATACATTACAATAGGCTAAAGAAACATAACCCAATCGAAAAGACTCGAAAAACACCAAAATTCACGAAGTTGGCAAAACTCGAGCCCCGGTCCTACTTCTCGAAAAATTACGAAATCTACATCACTGGATTCCTCGTCTCGCCACGAGTCTACACATACCAATTTTACCAAAATCGGAGTTCAAATGCCCTTTCAAAATTCATTTTTACATCACAGCTTTCCAAGCCCTAACTTGACCCGTTTTTGATGAATTTTCCACAATTTACATGTAATTTCTACCATGAACTCGAATAATTAGGCCAAGAGACTTACCTGCAATTGATTCTCAGTCAAAACCCTCGAAAGTCCTCGCCCAAAGCTCTCCAAGTCGCTTAAAAATGGTGGAAACTACCTCTTGTTCGCGGATGAAATATAATATTTTAAACCCTTCTGTCAACAGCGATTTTCACTTATGCGGTCCCGCTTCCGCTTATGCGGGACCGCTTCTGCGGCCAAAAATCCGCTTATGAGGTCTTCACTTAA